TCAGGTCGAACTCTGTTTCCCCGTGACCCTGGCTCTTGCTTTAGCCTGCGAATCTGGACTGGGAACCCCTCAAAGTCGGACATAGAACCCCTATGAAGTGAGGCATACCCACAAATTCCACTAAACAAAGAACACTTTTTGAGTTGGTACCCTTTTTGCCTAGTAAGAAAAAACACCGTTCCGCCATTTTGCGGCCTCCCTGAAAACTCGCCGGAGCTCAGTAGGAAAACCGTTCCGGGTGGGAGTGAATCGATTGGAATGAAAGGAAACCACGAGTTGGATGGTTTATGGGGGTCCATGCCGAACAACGGCCACGCGCGTGGGATTTTTGTGTTGACTTTGGCTCAGCCCTTGGGCTTGACACAGGCGATGAGCAAGACATCACTCATGCTTTTACCTCTCAGCGCTTCTTACCGGGAGGTAAGCGATCCCTTTCATCACCCGTCCGGGAGAAAAAAAGCAAAGTCGTTGCACACCTCGTCTTTTTCTTTTCGAGCAGGGACGGGCGAAGTGGCGCCTTTTCCGTCCGAGACTCGCGGAAAAACGAAAAAGTCCAGGGACTGACTGCAGACGGATCAGAGGCTTCGCTTGAGACCAAACTCTGAGCCATCGCCCACGGCGCCATGAAGCGCAGTGTGAGCCGCGGCTTGCTGGCCCTGGGTCTCCTGGCAGGCTTCAGGCCGTCAGACGATTTGATCGGAGATTGGGGGGGTTCTTTCGAGGTCGGAAGGCTTCTTGAAAGGGGGTTCCCGAATATGTTCGGTTGGTGAATTATTACAATGGTTTGCCCAGAATGTTGATAATATAGGGTCAGCTGTGAGAAGAACATTGACATGCTGTTTGCTTTGCTAACATGCTTGGCAGGGTCGGACTGCCTGTTTCAGGCGTGTTCTGGCTGGAGCGCCGTCAAAGTGAGGCTCATTTGAGCGATGGGTAGATGGACGCTTAGTAGAGGACAGTCCCAACCAGAAATTGAAGCGGCAAGAAGCTCTTGTTTTTCTTTGAAGGCCAGGTGTTGACTACCCGTACATGGCAACTGTGGGAGGGTCTTGGAACCAATCAGGCCTTACCTGAAAAAACATGACTAAACCCAGTAGAGGCTTTTCCCTTCAGCGGTGCATGTTGAGAATTCTTGGGAAGCCACGTGTTAGACTGTTTGAGAGGAGGGTACGACTCATTTGGCGCTGCCTGATCGATGCGCGTTGACGCAAGCGATCAAATCGATCGGCCAGGTGTTTCTGCGCCCCCTCTGTGCGTGAGGCGACGGGCCTGGGAGGTGATACCTGGCGCACAAATTTAGGACATGCTCACCTGGTGAGAACATGAGCTCCCCCAAGATGAAAGGTTCTTGCCTGAGGATAATTATAATGTACCCGGACATGTCTGCTGCTTTCTCCCAAGGTGTTCACATGGTTCAAGCAAACTGTGCAACCACATTGAGGGTATCTATGCCTAACCCGGAGGCAGGTCTTTCTGCTGAGACCTGCTGATGTCTTGTTTGTCAACCCCTGGCGAAAAGGGAGGTTTTTATTGAGAGCGAAACCCGGCCGGAGGAAAAACACGTGGATATTGTGAGGCGGGGTAGGTCATGCATGGTGGGCGGATTTGCAAGCTATTGAGGGAGCTAGGCTGAGTTCCTGTGAAATTAAATTGTTGCAGCCTCCAATCAAACTGGCCAGCCTTGGACCCAGAAAGTCGGACCCACCTGATATGGACCTAATACTGGCTGAACATATGGCTTCCCCAAGTCGTCAACCCCAATATTGGTGCCATTGATCCAGTGACCAATTTGCAATAAGAATCAGCTACTTCGGTCATAGTCTTGGGAAAATGTCCGGAGGGCAACACAATCTAGGGAGTTCCCATAGTTTCATCATTCCCATACTAAAGGTCACCCAACACTTGGGACTTATGTGAACCTGATTCAGCGTCACGACTTTGAGACCCCCTTTCCCTAGCGCCAACCAAGCCTTCAAACCACTCAGTTCTACTGGAATGGCATTGGGCCCTGAACCCCCGAAATTTGTGTACCTGGCGCCAGAAAAGGGGCCAGAATCCGAACTGTCAGCTACCCTCTGGCAAATGAATGGAAGGAACCCGAAAAGAAAGGGCCTCCCCAACAGCTCTAGAAATCCATGGCTTGAGCGCTAGGGTCATGAGCTCCCACTGGCGCACCCCCATAGTCTCAACACTCGAAGGATCCTTCCTTTCCAACAACTGCCCTAAAGCCAGGGAAACGGCTGGTTGTTGCAAAAGACATGATTGGGGAAGAATGGGGGACGAGGGAACGACCCCCCGCGAGCCATCCCTTGCAGCCTCCTTTTGGTACTCCCGAGGTTCATTCCCAAAAACGGCTCTACCAGCGAACTTCAGTTGTGTGCGTTCTTGAGGGACCTTGCAATTAGTAGGGCAAGCATTTAGATGTCTCCCACACCTATGGTCAACTCATTCAAACGGGCCAGCCCTGGACCCAGAAAGTCGGACCGGATTTCTCGGCCTTTTAGCTGAATATATGGCTTCCCCATCAGCCCCACTGGGACAAAAAATCGCCAGGTCCGACTTTCGTCCAAGTTTGGCCCCTTTGACTCATATGCTTCCATTCATTTCTAATTGGTTTCCTGTTGGTTTTGAGGATCTAGCACTGGGCATCATTTCTATTTGGGCATCATTTCCTGTTGGTTTTGAGGATCTAGCACTGGGCATCATTTCTATTTGGTTTCCTGTTGGTTTTGAGGATCTAGCACTGGGCATCATTTCTATTTGGTTCCTGTTGGTTTTGAGGATCTAGCACTGGGCATCATTTCTATTTGGTTTCCTGTTGGTTTTGAGGATCTAGCACTGGGCATCATTTCTATTTGGTTCCTGTTGGTTTTGAGGATCTAGCACTGGGCATCATTTCTATTTGGTTTCCTGGATTTGAGGATCTAGCACTGGGCATCATTTCTATTTGGTTTCCTGTTGGTTTTGAGGATCTAGCACTGGGCATCATTTCTATTTGGTTTCCTGTTGGTTTTGAGGATCTAGCACTGGGCATCATTTCTATTTGGTTTCCTGTTGGTTTTGAGGATCTAGCACTGGGCATCATTTCTATTTGGTTTCCTGTTGGTTTTGAGGATCTAGCACTGGGCATCATTTCTATTTGGTGTCCTGTTGGTTTTGAGGATCTAGCACTGGGCATCATTTCTATTTGGTTTCCTGTTGGTTTTGAGGATCTAGCACTGGGCATCATTTCTATTTGGTGTCCTGTTGGTTTTGAGGATCTAGCACTGGGCATCATTTCTATTTGGTTTCCTGTTGGTTTTGAGGATCTAGCACTGGGCATCATTTCTATTTGGTGTCCTGTTGGTTTTGAGGATCTAGCACTGGGCATCATTTCTATTTGGTTTCCTGTTGGTTTTGAGGATCTAGCACTGGGCATCATTTCTATTTGGTGTCCTGTTGGTTTTGAGGATCTAGCACTGGGCATCATTTCTATTTGGTTTCCTGTTGGTTTTGAGGATCTAGCACTGGGCATCATTTCTATTTGGTGTCCTGTTGGTTTTGAGGATCTAGCACTGGGCATCATTTCTATTTGGTTTCCTGTTGGTTTTGAGGATCTAGCACTGGGCATCAGTTCTATTTGGTTTCCTGTTGGTTTTGAGGATCTAGCACTGGGCATCATTTCTATTGGTTTCCTGTTGGTTTTGAGGATCTAGCACTGGGCATCATTTCTATTAATTGGTTTCCTGTTGAGGATCTAGCACTGGGCATCGTTCTCCCGCAGCCGAAAAAAGTCTGTGTTTGCATACAGGGCTGATACGGATTATTGCGCCTTTGCCGCTACCTCGTTGCCAGCCTTGTTATTCGTACTCACCATGGTCAACTTTTCATTTTTTGCAGGGGACGAAAAAGCAAACGGAGGCATGGCCGAGGAGGCTTTTAAGACTTCTGTGACCATGGAAGCCAGGTGGACCACAGCCGGAGATCTCTGGTACCTGCTCCCCGCGCGCGAGTTGCTGAGGTTTGACCACAACCCCCATTGCCCAAGGAAAGCTTGGTGGCTTCCAGCTAGGTTGAGTGGTTGGGTTTCCATTTAAGCCACTCAAAGCTAAACTGTTGGCAGGGGGTCGGAGCACAGCCCAGAAAACAGGAGGCGGGCGTACTGCTTTTCGAGCCCAAACAAACTGCCACCCGGGGTCTTTCTGAATACATTGATTCAAAGAGGATATGACGGCTGCTTTTCCTCACAAGCGCCAAACATGGCGCCCCCCTAAAACAAGACACACCCATATGTATACATATATATGTATATATGTATATGTATATATATATAGATATATGTATGGATATCAGGGAGATTCTGTACCAACTGGTTTTGGGTTGTTTGTCTGTGCAGTTCGCAGGATCTTCAATCCCATAGTTGCGGGCAACTGTAGTGAGTAGCAATCAGCTAGCATACCCAACCATTTGGTAGTAGCCACCTTGGGATTCCATGATTCTATGCGGGTGTGTCTTTTCTAGGTCGTGTTCTTTCCCTTTGTCGGTCCTCTTCCACTTTTAGCTGGGCTGCAAAACAGGCCAGGGGGTAGGACGAGATCCTTTGAACGAACTCCGACTTATTGGAGATCTTGAAAGCTCATTGAGTTTAACTTTCATTTGCTTCAGAATATTTTATGTTTCCCCTCTTGGGTTTAAAGGGAATTAACCACTACTGGACATATGTTTATCCATTCTGGGGTTGCTGGGGTAGGTCATCGGTGAGCGAACCGTGTTCCCGCTCGAATTCGCCTCGACCTGGATATTTCCTGCGAGCAAGGGCTAGTTGCACGTCGAGGGCTAGTTGCAAGTGCAATTGAATTGAAAGCACAATGGGCCCCGACGGGTTGACTTCCTGCTCTATTGCACTAGGTTCGTTCCTATTACATCAATTTGGGAGAGGCCCATTGCAAAAAAGTCAAGGAGGTCAACGACCATGGGCCATCCTTTTCCCGTGTTTCCATCCATACAAAAGACCCAGCTATTCCTCGGGGCCCGTCCCTCACTTTCCTTGCGTGGGCCATGGCCGATCGCGAGAATTTCCGCTGGCCGGCGGTTGGGTTGGCTCTCGCTGGGGGTGCGGCGTCCTTCGCCTGGTGGTGGCGACGACGACGCGACCCGTTCGGCTTCGACCGGGCGCTGCTCGACTGTGTGATTGAGCGACTGGCTGGCTAGTCCCACCCAATCCATGTAGGTAATTGTGTACCAACATTTGAGCCGCTATCAAAACCCGGGTGGATGAAGGTTAGTAAGGGGCAGTCCCAGCCAGAAATAGTTCCGGCCGCCTTCTTAATTCTTTACATGGTTCTGGGTAGACCGATTTAAGACCGGGTTTTGATTGTGACTCATTTGACCCATTTCGAGGGTAGATGTGCGTAAATATTGGATACATGGGATTGTTTGGGCCTGGACTGCGTGGACTGATTGACTGACTGACTGACTGACTGACTGTCTGACTGACTGACTGACTGGCTGGCTGACTGCCTGACTGACTGACTGACTCACTGTCTGACTGACTGACTGGCTGGCTGGCTGACTGACTGACTGTCTGACTGGATGACTGACTGGCTGGCTGACTGCCTGACTGACTGGCTGACTGACTGGCTGGCTGGCTGGCTGGCTGGCTGGCAGCCTGACTGACTGACTGACTGACTGACTGACTGACTGACTGCCTGCCTGCCTGCCTGCCTGCCTGACTGACTGACTGACTGACTGACTGACTGACTGACTGTCTGAGTGACTGACTGGCCTGACTGACTCGCTGACTGACTGACTGACTGACTGGCTGGCTGGCTGACTGACTGACTGCCTGTTTGACTGACTGACTGTCTGAATGACTGACTGACTGACTGACTGACTGACTGAATGACTGAATGACTGACTGACTGACTGACTGACTGACTCACTGACTCACTGACTGACTGGTTGGACACAACAACAAGGTTCGGTCTTTTGTGAAGCGGTTGGTGGAACATGCGTTTGTGTTGCAGACCAGGCGCCAGCTCCACATGTTCTGGTTAGCGGTTTTGTTTCTTGTTATTTGTTTGGGGGGGGGGAGCAGCACAGAAGCACCATCGGTGTCTTTTCAGGTCAGAACATAGACTGATGCCATCCGCACATAGGGTTGGGCGATATCCCTCTGCCTTTCCTTCCGCAGTACAAGCGCATATCCATATCCTACTCAACATTGGCTGCCTTTTTCGCTCAAAGGGAAGGGTAGGGGTCATGAGTCATGAACCCTTGGGTGTCGAGCTGGGCTCGGTTGAGTGATGCGGCTGGGCTCCGTGTGGAAGCGGAGAGCTTGATTTTTTGACCTTGTGCCGGATGCTGGGAATCCACACGAAGGGCTGCCCTTGCGTTTGCTGAGGGTATGTATGGATTCCCTGGGGAATCCACCAAACCGCTATGCTTTGGAGCCCATTGCACTCCGAAGATTTTCCGCCGGGTATAGATTTTGTCACATAGCCAGTTGGCTATGAATCTTAGTAAGGAACCACCTCAGAGCTGGTTGGCCAACCTACACGTCCCCCATTTCGGGCCTGTCTTTTTTTTAAAATTAATCAAGTTGCCTTGGAGACCAAGAAGAAATGCAAAGCCGAGAGCCTCAGGCTCGACCGAAGCGGCACCAATGCGGTGAAGTACGACCTGGCGCCGCTGATCCACGGAGCCAAGGCCAAGGATGGGATTCAGCTCTGGGTGGCGGACATGGACTTCCCCTGCTGCGAGACTCGGACGAGTGGAACGTGCAACGTTCCACTGGCTTCGTTTTTTTGTTTTTAGGGGGGCCCAGAACTCTTTACATAATTCTGGGTTTACATTGTTGGTACCAGGTTTTGAGTTTGACTCAGGCGCATCCATGAGATGTTCAACCAAGGCTTTGGTGCATTTTGCCAAGGGATGTGAGGACTTTAACTTTTTGCCAACTGATTGGGTTTTCCGTATTAAACCACTAACAGTTAGTCACTTTTAGCAGGGGAGCAGAAAGCAACCGAGTGTCCGTCTGTCCGTTTTTTGTTTTTTGTACTGGGCCCCGGAACTTGCCGGAGCAACCGGCGAAGCGTCCCTTATTATTATTTGCTATTATTATTATTATCATTATTATTATCATCATTATTATTATCATCATTATTACTACTATTATTACTATTATTATTATTATCAACATTTTTTTTTTTAAAGGACATGTTTTAGTTGGTTTAGAGGGGTTTTTCATTTATCCCACTAAAAGTTGAACTTTGAGCATGGGATCCGGGTTTTCCAGGTGCCTGGCTTTTGACGAGGGAGAATGTGAAACCATCCCCAAGCTCCAAACCACCAATCCGAATCACCAGTTAGAGGGATGCTGAGTTTCCTTTTTGTTTCGCTTTGAATCCGCACAAAAGGTTCCTTGCAAAAGACAAGTCTTGGCTGCTGTGTTCCACTGGCAATTTCAGCGAATCATATGGCCGTGCTTGGTTGGATCTACCTTCAACTTTTTGGGAAATGTACGTGTGTGTGTGTGGGTTTTCGCACTCACCAACACCACAACCACTTGTTGCACAGGAATTGCCGCCAAACAGCGAATTCAGAGAGAGGATAATATCGACGTTTAGGTGCCCATTGTCCAAAAAACGTCCATTGCCTTCTTATCTTGGGGGCAAGATTTCTCCCAACAAAGTTGTATCTTTCAAGCCCTTGAATAGAGGACCTGTGAAGAATTCATCTCACTCTCTCAGTTTCCGCTCGGACTTTAGTCACGTGTTGGGAAGACAGTTTAGTGGTAGAAAGAAGGTTTGGACTTTTTGGCCCAATCCACTCGGTCGGAAGTCAAGAGCTTCCAATTCCCAGCCTCGGCAAAGGCTGCGGCAGAAACTGTTGGTCGCTCAAATCACGCAGGCAGAAGGCCTTTTTGCCTCCAACGCAAATCAAGTCACACGGCAGGGGATTGTCCAAAAATGTATTTACGGTTATATGTGCCATGATCAGAAAACCACTTGAGATTGGTAGGAGTGGTCAACCCAGTACTCGTGCGAGTTAGGTTTTTAACGAATCGTTCGAATTTGGTACGAACAAACGGGAAAGGGAACTACAATCATGGCGTCACACGAAGTATTCCGGGGATGCAGCTGAGCCCTTTCTGTGGTTTTGCGGCTTCAGGGGTTCATCGGGGGCGAACATGTGAAGATGCCATCACGTGGCTGCCATTGGAAGGGGTCCATTGGGCTAGGAAGGGTCCAGCCCATCTTTCGAGGAGTTGATTCCTGATTCTGTTCAACCATCCTTCTTTTCAAACTCCTGCTGCTTTTTGTTTCGAGGAGAAGGAACCTTGGCAAGCACGCATCGATCCATTGGCTTCCCCACGCGCGATACTCAGATGATTACTGGAAACAAACCCATTGTGTTTGACCATCCAAAATTGGAAGCTTCCCAAAAGGGAGCTTTCCTCATTGGGACAAGTCAAGGGCAGCTCCATCCCCACCCCTTAAAATGGAATTGGGAGAGTGACCCCTAAAATTCCATTTATGGTTCCATTTTCCCTTTTGTGGAGAAGACCACCCCCCTTCCCCTTATGGTAGGGAGGATGAAGCTCCCCAAAAGCCTTCGCCGAGTGAGGAGCGGATCCGAAAGGCGCTGGCAAAGCGTGTGAGGCATCCGAGCTTTGGGTACACGTGCCTTGGATCGGTGCTTTGGTTTCCCTTGGTGGTTTGGATGTTTTTGATTGGTGGGAACTGGGGATTTGAACCGGCTTGTTGACCGGGCTTCGATTCGGAGGTACCAGAGAGTCGTCCGGTTCAACCTTGGTCTTTGGTTGGTGTAGTGGTTGGGTTTTTTTCCCATTATTTGTCCCGTTAAAAGTTCAAACCCTGTAGCAGGGGATCTGAAAACGGACAGCCCAGGTTTGATTCTTGCTCGGGGTTTCATTTGAGGTTTGGTCAGGCAAAAACGCCAGTACTCTGAGGGCCATCTCGGTGGAAAAAGGGGGGGACGATATCTACGTTTCCTGCTTGGGGGAAACTTGGCGCAGTGTGACAGTGGCGCATTCGTTGATCGCCCCGGACCTAAGCTGATCATTCTTTGAACTTTTCAGTGACTTTTGGTTTGACTTTGGATAGGACTTGAACCTTTTGGTTTTGGAAGCTTCACCTTTGTTGAGTGATTTTTCATCCTCCATCCTCAAGCTTCAACCTTTTCCCGTCCTTTCTTTCCTCCCTCTTTCCCCATCCACGCTGAACCATCCATATTTGAGCCACATTGACCTTCAACCATCAACCTTCCACCGTCAATCTGTCCCCATGAACCTTAGTCACATAGGTGTCCTTTTTAGGATAGTTTGGTTAAACATAGATGGCACTGGCTTAGATGGGGGTTCGTCTATTTACCAGGGCCATCTATTTGTCGAACAGGCCAGCTATGCTTTTTCACCAGCAGTCTTTGACTTTTTGACTAACCTTGAGCTTTGAACCTTTAGGCCACCTAGATCTAACCATCAGCCATCAACCTCGAAGCAAGCGTCTACCTTTCCCCTTTCAGCCTGTCAACTTCAGCGAGAGTCCAACGACCTTGGGGACCCTGTGGCAAACCGGGACCAATAAAACCCCCGGTCGATTGATAGCGAGGTGTGCCGAGGAAGTCCTTCACTTCTGGAGCGAACACCGCCATATGGAGTCGCAAGCGCCCCAAGAAGTTCCTCAGCCCCAAGCAGCACCCTTGCTCCTCGGTCCCCCGAACTAGTACACCCCTTTTCATTAATATACAGGGACGTTTCTGGCCTTGAGGGGATTTAGACTATCCCTTTCAACTTCAGCCCCGAGCGTCCGACGGTTTTGGAAGGTGTCAGCCCTCAGAGATCTGGCAGCGAATTGGCCGCTGGCTGGTGGAGCGTCATGGCTGGCCAAAGGCCGGCGAAAGATGCGGGGGCCGGCCGGCGGCCGTTTTGCGGCTTGACCCCCCCCTTCCCCCCCCCCCCCCGCCCTGCCTTGGTGTGTGTGTGTGTGTGTGTGTTTTTTTGGGGGTGGGGAATTGTCTGTGCCTCGCCTTGATGTTTTTGTTTTGGGCGGGGGGATTGTCTGAAGGGATATCGACTCAACCTTTGCTTAGCGGTTGAACTGTTGAGTCTGCACACTTGAAACTGTTGTTGTCAAGCCCCAGGTCAGATTCCGAAGTATAGATTTAATCATGGCAAGGGCTTGAGGGACCCATGGCAACACCTTTCAGGATCTGCGCTCCCATTTCTTCGGCTTGGTTTACTCTTGGTTTTTCCTTACAAGCCGGACCTTGAAAAACAGCAGTTTTGAGCGGCACGACCGTCAGAATGCAAGGTTCAAGCCCTCGAGGGTCTCAAGCCCCGAGCAATCTGACCGGCTTCTGAAGGGAAGCGGAATGTGTGGTCCTTTTTTGGGGGCCGAGGTACACTAAAACCAGGGATGGTTGATGTTCTCAAATGCGAGCTCCAAACGGGAGCGGGTTGGGGCCACTTCACCATTGATGACTCAATGGTTTTTCCTTTCGCCCACACGGCCGATTCTTTTGGGTGCATATGAAGTTTGGACCAAATTTCCTATGGTTGTTAAGGGCCCCCCAAGAGGGCCCCTCCCAAACCTCCTTTGGTCTACTTTGGCAATGTTTCTTGCGGGAAACTTTCCGAGTTCTGACCGTGGCTCACATGCGTTTGTGTATTTCTTGGGAGTCCAGCTAAGGCTTTTGCACCGGGACGCCAGGTTTGGGCAATGCGTGTTTCTAGAATCAAGGCCTGGCTCCCTAAACCCATCCTAAACCCCAGGCAATCGGCAGGGCTAGAAGAGCACTGCGTTCGCTCCTGGCCGAATATCCTGAACCTGAACTGTGGGGGCCCTTTGGTGGTCCACCGACCACTTTTTGTGAGGCGGTTCCCTGTCGAAAAAGGCCGTAGCCACATGTTGCGCCAACCGCATCTCTTCGCCGGCCTTACGCCCACCGTCAGCTTTGCCGAAGTCGCAGTCGCTGCCACCCCGAAGCGCAGCAGATTTTGCCGAAGAGGATCTGATACGTGCCTGGTGTTCCACCCCGGTTGTGGTTTTGCCCGGATTCTTTTTTCCCGTATGTCATGGACCTGGCTATGTGGGGCGAACTGGGAAGGAACCTCTGGCCATCACAAGTTACACAAACCTGCCCTGGCATGGATTTCTGGGTGAGGATCCACATGATCGCAAGGTGGTGTTGGTTTGCTTCATCCCAAGCGGTACCTAGCCTCATGCTAGGTATGGACTTGTCTCGAAGTTAGGCACTCCCCAAAATGGCGGGGTTTTCTGTTTCGTCAACCGCATATGCCAAAATCGAGCCCCCCCTCCTCAAAAAAACAAGCACCGGGAGCCGGACCTTTGGGTCATTCTCGTTCGCGTTGAAAACGAGCGCCAGGCGCCGGCGCCCGACTGCTTCATCTACTCCTCCACCGTGGTGACCAGCGTGAGCAGCATCCTCTACAGCCTGACGCAGCCTGGGGACAAGGCCCTGCGGAGCTTTTTTTTGGGGGGGGGTGGGGCGCCTAAAAGTTGCCTCTTGTTTTTTGCTTTTTTTGTGGAGGGGGGGGGGGGAAGAGTTAACACTGTACGGCTTTGCCCTTTTTTCGAGAGCGGGCGCGCAAGGCCTGGCTCGCGGGAATTGTCCGGCGGGTTTCCTGCACTTTGGGCGGATGTGCGTCTCACTGGCAACTAGGGACATTGAGTGGGAGACCAAGCAGCCAAACGAACTGTAAGCACTTTGTGTTGAGACTGAGATGTAGGACCTTACCAACTGGCTGTCTCTTCCACTGACCTGAACTTCACCCTCTCGACACTCGGAAAACGGTGTGCTCACCGTTTTTCTCAAGTATCCTCTGGTGGGTTCCTCGGCGTGGGCAAAGGGACTAATGCTCAAGACTTCGGGAATCTGAGTAAGGAACGCTGGGAAGGCATCATATCGCGCCAGTTTACTCGCAAAGCATACCCTGCCTCCATCTTTGTCTTGGCACCTGTCAGGGCGTCAATCAAGAGGCGCTATGTTTTTAAGGAAGTTGCTGGCACGGAACTTCCAAGGACATGTCCCTTAAAGGCCGATTGTATAAACAAACGAGATGCGAACCCAGATTGCACACCCTTGCAGCTGTTGTCTTTTTCAGAATCGAGCCAAGATTTGGGGAACTCAAGTGATCTCAAGGTTTATCCTTCCGCAGAATTAGTTCCCCTTTTTGTTGTTTGGCTTTTTTGGGGTCCCCTTTGTTTTCCACAAACCAGGAAAAAGCATCCTTGAAGTCGACCCTCAAAGGGGGGGGGAAAAAAAAAAAAACACATTCCCAAGCCTCAACAAAAAGCACACGCGCACAGAGAAATATATTTTTTTCTAGGCACCCCATCCGAACCGTCGACCTCCCGCTTCCACCCGCATATCTTTCGGGTCCCCCATCCCAACCGGACCTCCCCCCCTCCGGCCGGTCCCAGTTTCGCGCGCCATCCGCGCGCGGAAGCGGACGCGCTTTCGCGCCAGGTGCTCACCATGGTGCCGCTGTATCCCCCGCTGCAGGGCATCGTGAAAGCGGCGAAGCGGAGCTTGGTGCACCACAAGCTGCGCTGGGAGAAGGGGCGCTACGAGATGGACATGGAGGCCCTTGGTGAAGCGAGGGGCATCTCTTTTTGAAAGGCGCGTTCTTCGGAAAAGGAAGGCAGAGAGCTGATACATATGGGGGGTGGCCCCCTTCTTATTATATTTTGGGGTTGGTGCCCTCTTTTTGTTGGTTGTTTAGAGGGAAACCACAAGGGAAACCACAAGCAAGGTTGATCCACACATGGGGGGACCAGTAGGGGAACCACCAAAAGGAGGACTCTCACAACTCAATGGGAAAAAGCTACATCATGGTCATTTTGGGGCCTTGATACATGTGATTATTTTTCAGTTGGTACCCTCTTGTGAATGGTTTCTTAGATGGAAACCACAAGGAAATCCATAAGTTTGGGGGGTCCACTATAAAAACGCAGATGCCCCAAAAATGGCATGCGTATGTGAGTCATCCATTCGGGGCAAGAGCATCAGGAGAAGGAAGACAACAGTTCAGACTTTTTGGGCGAATCTGCTGAAGTCAGCCCACCCAACACGCCGATTCATCTCGTGAGTGTTATGACCGCAGATAAGGGAAACTTCACAAGGGAAACCCCTTCTCTTGGGATGTGGTTGGCACATGGGTATTCGGAACGGAAAGAACACGAGAACCGCGTGGGTTGGCTCTCGCTTTGTCGCGTGGCAGGTGTTGAAGGCCCAGCTTGATGGTGTCAAGGCTCGGTTTCTCCGTTGCGCTCGATCGCTCGATGAGGGCCAAGGCCGGTCGAATTAACGTATGGTCATGGTCAGGATCCCTCACTTCCTGAGTTCCGTTTTGGACTTTAGGCGCTTTGTGGGCTTGGACCATTCTAGTGTTAAATCACAAGTTTGGGTACGTTTGTTGTGGCCAATTTAGTCGGGAAGTGAGTTCCCAGTCGATATGACTCCTGTTTTTACGGGAACCATGAAGAAGCCGGGAGTTTTGACCACACATGAGGTCAGCGACATCCTTCGCCTTACAGGGGCTGACCCAACCAAAAAGAGAATCACGCGACCAATGCGACGGACAAGCCGGGGCGTTTAGCGGAAGAAGGGCCACCCTTGGGTTGAGTTCCGTTGATTTGTGTTTTGTGTGCGGAGTTGTCTTTGGCTTCCCCCGTATGTTTGTTTCAATTGTATTTTGGGCCATAAGCGGACGGTCCTTTGTAAGTGGTGTTGACATGCCGCATCTTGCCACGTTTTGGCTTCACATGTTGACCCTGACCGATCTGTCGGTGCACTTGGGGCGAAGGAATTGGTTTCATGCTGATGCAGATCCGGGAAACCGCCCCTGAACCCCTCTCTTGGCATCTCCCGACCTGTTTGATAACGACGGGGGTGGCAGGAGGCAGACGGACATTCTACAGGAAATCGACGGGGTTTTGGGTCTCGTTGACATTCCTCAAGGTTTCTATGAACTTTCGGTCTCCAAGATCCAACTGGAGGGCATTGGTCCTCGACCCACTCTTCGAATCACTTTCGACTTGAACCCATTTTTCGACTTGAACCCAGGCGCTTTCCTTGGGATACAAACCGAGTGGACCCCCTTTTGACTGGACGGCATGAAACGGAAACGGTTGGGGACCAACTCCTACGAGAAACAAGACATAAGAATGCAGCAATGGCATAAGAATCCAACAGCGTTGGGTTTAGGTGTCCTTTGGTTTCCCTTTAAGCCAAGCCCGCAATATGGGTATGGCTCAAAATTAAGCCACCAGGGGGCCGCATATTCTATTCCATGTTTCCATTTAAGTTACCAGGGAAGCCCATTTTGAGCCGCAGCCATATAAGGAACTCAGTTGGAAAGCAAAAAGGAACCCTGCTCTCCGCTGGCTCCCTTCATCTCCCAAAAGGTGATCAAAAACGACACCCACCCATGAGTCATTCCCCCTCTCAGCTGCCTGCCGGGAAAAGGGTGTGTCTCAAAATGGGGATACCCCCAAAAATGGGGGCAACAAACCTTTCGGGGGGTCGTCCTGAAACCCCACTCTTCGGTTTTAACTACCGCCGAAGGGGGAGAAGTAAGAGTTGTCAAACGCTGTGCGCGCAAGAAGCCTGCAAGTGCGACCCAAGGGATGCCAAAGGCTCATCTTGTGTAGGGTTTCATGCCCTGATGTTGCCTGGCTTCATGAAAGGAAATGATAGCTTCTTCCTTTTAAACTGGCACCACACAATTTAAGCATCAGCCACTGACACGGGGAAAAAACACAAACGCGCGAGCTGCGCGAGCTGCTTGAGGCCCCCAAGGCATCTACCCTTGGACTTGCCTTGGGATGTCCGCGGCAGGGTCCAAGCAGTGGCACTGCATCAACCTCTTTCCTGGGGCGTGGCCTCTTTTCACCCAGTGCCGCGCTTGGCCGCCTGAAAACAAAATAGGGGGGCAAAAATACGTGACCCCAAAAGCTGAAGCCCAAAAAATAGCAGCAAGAAGGAACCCTCTCCCTCCCCCTCCCCAACAAGCTGAAGCCTCCAAAAACAGAAACCTCTTCCCTCCCTCCCCGGACAGACCGGATGGCCGCAGGTGCTGATTCTGTGCAGCCCCCACAACCCCGGGGGCCGCGTCTGGACGCCGGAGGAGCTCGCGGCGCTGGCGAAGCTCTGCGCGGAGCTTGAGGCGGGAAGTACACGACCGCAATGCACAGGGCTCCTCAAAACCCGGGGATTGATGGGCACCTCTTGTTTTCTGGTTCCCCGGTCTGCCACCAGATATCCGAAAGAGGTCCAAACCCAATTTGAGCCACGGTAGATGATTTGAAACATGTGTTTTTTTTCAGCACAGTAAAGGGACACCACCATTGACAAGGCAATGTTCAGGTGTATAATGTAAGGATGATTTTTTTGACTGGCCCAAGGATTTTCTTCTTTGAAGGGGCCCCCCAAAAAGCGCCGTAGCATCAAATCCATGGTTGTTGTTGGGAAGCATTTTACCATTTTTGCTTATTGTCTGTGCCCTTTGACCGTTTCTTTTTTGGTTGGGAGGGTTCCCCTACTAAAATAATTGACTACAGAAAGAAAGGGTACCCTTATTCTAACCTCTCTACTCGAGGACCTAATTGTGGTTTAGTGGGAAATCCGAATCCACTTCACTGCTAGAAATTACATTGTTGCTCCCCTTCCAACGTCAACCTAAACCCCTTCTGGGGGGGGTTCACATTTTCGTTTCAAGACAGACCCATGAGTTCCCTTCAACCTTGCCTAGGAGATCCCCCCCCACGAGGAAATCGATCTTCCAGGTCTCCCAGACGGTGGATGGGTGCGAAATCCGGAACCGCGCCACGAAATGAAGCCATGGGACACCATCACGCTGGCATTCATCAGGTTTTCTACGGTGGTGCGAAATGGAATTCGTGTCTTTTTTTTGGGGACCCCATCTTGGATGGGTTTGAAAGGGAAACCAAAAGGAACACCGAAATCCATCTTTTTCCTTTTTCGATTTTTGGGGGGGTCCCCCCCCCAAAACACGAGACCACGCAAATAGGTGTGGTGCATTTAAGTTGGCGGTTCCCAGCGAAGGCCGGTTGAAAGAGGGAAAACGAACCACCCACACTGGGGCGTGCATTTTGACGCCCTATTTGGGCATGTGCCAGCATATGACCCAGATGAATGTTGCAGGTAGGGAAAGTAGGGAACACTCATCGTATTTTGTTTGTTCGGGAATAAACCTGGCCTGGCGGAATTTGCGAGAAACAGGAAGCCACCAGTTGGATGTGTTTTTTTGGGGATCGTGTTCTCTGTGAAGTTCCCATGAACATCCACCCCACTTTTTGGCCCAATCAGGTTTTAGTTCTTGGTCTTTGCCATAGGCAATAGCGGCCGGTAGAGCCGGCGGAGCCGGTGGGTGGAAGGTTCAAGCATGTAAAAACTATAGTTATCCTTTTTTTCTTTCCGTTTTTGCTATCTCTTTTCTTTCTTTCCATAGTTTCCGTGACGCGGAAGTTCCTGCCAAGCTTCTTTTGACAATGTTGTTTATAAGCATCCTCACATTGAAGTTCTCGATCACAGCTCTCGCAATTGACAGAAACAAACGTATATTGTATCTACACAACTTAGCTTCAGGAAATGTCAGGAAATTAAGGACAGAACAATACTATGATGATGATGATGATGATGATGATGATGATGATGATGATGATGATGATGATGATGATGATGATGATGATGATGGTGGTGGTGGTGGTGGTGGTGGTGGTGGTGGTGGTGGTGGTGGTGGTGGTGGTGGTGGTGGTGATATTGATGATGATCATAAAACAATGGTTCGATGACCTTTGACGTATGCATCATATGCAATATGCATGTTTAGACCTGGAGGTTGTTGTGAAAAGGCCACCCTTAGCCGGTTTGGAATTGGTGGGACTTGGGGGTTTGAACAGGGCAAATGGGACACATCCCAACCCAAGCCACTGGGCCCAAACCAGCGAGCAGAAAAAGAAGGCTGAGATTTGTAGAGGGAAACCCCAGCGTCTGGCTCTGGCAACCCCGCCAAATGAAGGGTAAGAGACAATCCTTCAGTTCGAAGGTTTGACTCCTTGGCCATTCTCTTCACCCATCGTCTTTTTTGGAAACCGCCCATTTTCCAGGGGTTTGCCCCATTCTTTGAAGAGAATGATGCCTGAAGAGAATGGGGAGGGTACTCCTAGATCAGCGGCATCCTTGGATTACCAGTGTCCAAACGACCACCCTTCACTGATAAGTCGGCCAACCCCCAAAAGCTGCAGTTGTAGAGAGGGCTGCTGTTTGTGTTTTTTTCTTCTGGGGGGCGAGAGGAACAACCATAAATAGGTGCGGCAAGAAGCCATTTCAGTTCTTCACGTGGACGGCTATACGATTTTGTTCGATTCTGTGAATCGCCAGGTGCTGGTGGTGGTGGACGAGATTTGGGCGGACTGGTGCTTCAAGGCCAGGGGAACGCCCACTGGAAGGAGCTATTGGGTTGGATCTTTAAACTTTAACCTTTGGGTTGAAAAAGATATTGGTGTTTTCCACACCCCCAGAAAGTTTATATATATATATAAAACAACAACAACAACAACAACAACAACAACAACAACAACAACAACAACAACAACAACAACAACAACAACAACAACAACAACAACAACAACAACAACAACAACAACAACAACAACAACAACAACAACAACAACAACAACAACAACAACAACAACAACAACAACAACAACAACAACAACAACAACAACAACAACAACAACAACAACAACAACAACAACAACAACAACAACAACAACAACAACAACAACAACAACAACAACAACAACAACAACAACAACAACAACAACAACAACAACAACAACAACAACAACAACAACAACAACAACAACAACAACAACAACAACAACAACAACAACAACAACAACAACAACAACAACAACAACAACAATCAACAACAACAACAACAACAACAACAACAACAACAACAACAACAACAACAACAACAACAACAACAACAACAACAACAACAACAACAACAACAACAACAACAACAACAACAACAACAACAACAACAACAACAACAACAACAACAACAACAACAACAACAACAACAACAACAACAACAACAACAACAACAACAACACCACAACAACAACAACAACAACAACAACAACAACAACAACAACAACAACAACAACAACAACAACAACAACAACAACAACAACAACAACAACAACCAACAACAACAACAACAACAACAACAACAACAACAACAACAACAACAACAACAACAACAACAACAACAACAACAACAACAACAACAACAACAACAACAACAACAACAACAACAACAACAACAACAACAACAACAACAACAACAACAACAACAACAACAACAACAACAACAACAACAACAACAACAACAACAACAACAACAACAACAACAACAACAACAACAACAACAACAACAACAACAACAACAACAACAACAACAACAACAACAACAACAACAACAACAACAACAACAACAACAACAACAACGACAACGACAACGACAACGACAACGACAACGACAACGACAACAAACAACACGACGACAACAACAACAACAACAACAACAACAACAACAACAACAACAACAACAACAACAACAACAACAACGACCACAACAACAACAACAACAACAACAACAACAACAACAACAACAACAACAACAACAACAACAACAACAACAACAACAACAACAACAACAACAACCAACAACAACAACAACAACAACAACAACAACAACAACAACAACAACAACAACAACAACAACAACAACAACAACAACAACAAGCAGCAGCAGCAGCAGCAGCCAACAACAACAACACCACCACCACCACCACCAACAACAACAACAACAACAACCAACCACCAACAACAACAACAACAACAACAACAACAACAACAACAACAACAACTACTTTTTGCAAGGGGGTCAAGAGCAACCAAGTGGGGGAGTCAGGGCCCGCAGACTTGCATATGTCATGTTCTTCGCCCATTCTGAGCGTTCAGCCCTTCCCCATCCGTCTTTTGTTGTTTTTGTTTTTCCTTCGTATTTTGGGAAGAGATGGATGTACAGCTAGGCTTATGACACACTCCAACAGTTTGACTTCTAGGAAGGGATACAGGGACTCATGCCAACCAAAGTGTAGGCTCGCCACTAGGGTCTATCCACACGGGATCTATTTGGTGTTGCAGTTTCATGCCCCGTGTCCAGGAGTGATGTGTTGGCTCACACCTGGCGAACTATGTCTATAGTGCCTAGCTGGTTCCCAGCCCACGGGTTGAACAAAAATTGACCCATACCCATATGGCAGTGGCTCAAAATTAAAGAGCTAGGGTTACGCAGGTGTTGGTCCATTTTTCCACTTACCAGGGTTCCATTTTGGTGCCGGTTTTTTGAGCCATACCCATATGCCCCCTGGCTGATTTTGATTGTTTTTTTGTTTTGGTTTTCTCCCGTTCAGCGGCTCCTTTTGCCGGAGAAGCGGCGACCAGGTTTGGCTTTCTGGGGCCGACTTTGCTCAACCTCGGGGGACAACTAAAGCAAAACATGGGTGCGGATATCCGCCTGTTCAATTCTTTACCAGGGTACCAAGCGGCTTTTTTTGTGGCTCAACTGGAATGAGTTGTTGACTTGATAAATCGAACCATGTTAGTCAAACTTAAACCGGGATAAGGACCGCAGGTTTTAGTCCTTTCAATTTACCTGGACAACCCTGTGACAATGAAAACACCCGGGTAAGTGAAGCTCAGCAATCCCAAAGGCTGCGGATATCCGGCCTAGGTCTTGACATGGTTTTGGGTACCGAAGATGAGCAATGGCAAGCCATTGAGCAAAGATGTACTTTGTGGTGCACTCAGAGATTGCCGTTGACTATTCATCAGATGACCGACGCGCCAGGTTGAGGGAAAAATGGGCAGGTTGATGTTGCGTTGCGGATCTCTTTAGCCTGGAGTTTCTCAAGCTGCTGGACACCGTTTTGGCTGTTCAAAAGGGACCGCTAAAACTTCTTGAGCAATAGGCGATCGCCTCAGTCTTTCGAGGGTTTTCTTGAGGATACACCTAACATCAAATGGTACATGTAGAAACCCTTTGCAACAAAAATGTGGTTTCAAATTTGGCCAGCATGTACTGACTCCGTTGAGCAACTCTGTTTTCCATGGGCGTTTTTCCTTGGCCCTTCTTCCTCGCGCGTTCCTCTTCTTAGGGACAGCAACGGAGGTTCTAAAATTTTGCCCGAATGTATCCTTTAAGGCAACTCCTCCAAATCAAACCATATACTGTGAACCCCCAGATCAAACAACCTGTCCCATCAATACGCCCAAAAGTGATGAACCCTCACCAAAACGGGACACCCGCGGTCAAAATCACCCGAAGAAAGGAAACCATACGGGATGCAAAAAAGGGGTCATGGCCTCCGGAGAATGCTTCCAGCGAGCGAGGCGAAGATGGCGAAGCTGGCTATGTTCAACTTAGCTCTTGGTGGTTGGGTTTGGTTGTTGGGTACCATCCCCAGCAGGAACTGGGGTTTAAACCCCCGAACCACGTCTGGTATGTTCACTGAAGCCCTAATTGCTGGTTTGGTTTGGTGTTTGCGGGGTCCCCGGAACTGCGGTTCAAAGCTCCAAAAATGTGTTAATGGGAACCACGGAGTGATGAACGCCTGATCCCTACTACCCCAGTGCCCTTTTACCCTTTCTTGCGGGGGCTAAGATAGACTACAGAAAAAAAGGGGGTACCCTTATTCTAATCTCTCATCTCTGGAGGACCGGTTCACCCAAGACCGGTTCGCTCCCGCCCGGCCTCGGAGCGTCATTCATCTCGCTCGCAGAGATCGCGCGCGCCAGGCCTTCACCAGTTTCGGGCCGGCGGCGCAGCGCGCGAAGTGCCGAAGCATCACCGTGGGGTCCTGCTCGAAGACCTGGAACTTGGCGGGGCTCCATTGCTCCTACATCATCATCCAGGAGAGTCAGACCCAATCCAAGACCCAATATGAGTGAGCGTGTCGTCCTCCTTTTCTTTTTTTGGGGACCGACTCCCCCAAATGAGTGTGTCGTCCTTTTTTTTGGAACCGGACCCCTAAAATCCCAAAATGAGTGTCAGTTTTCTCAGGTTGGGACCCAAACACTCTGCCGTCGTGTCTTTCTTTTCAGGAACCGGACCCCGATAACTCCCCAACATGAGTGAGACCGACCCAAGCCCAAAAATGTGTGAAGCGCCTGTTTTAGCCTGGACCCCTACAATCCCAATCTGAGGTTGTCGGGTCCTTTAGGCTGGACCCCTGAAATTCCGACTTGAGCGTGTCGTCTTTTTTGAGGCCCCCGTGCCGGGCGCCAGAGTCTTCGTTTTGGTTTCCCTTCAACACCCAACGAAAAGACGGGTTCCGCCAAAGAAGTTCACACCCCAAGGAGGATGCCCAGTGGGTACCTTAGAAGGGAGGCCTGTTCTGCGTCAGACCCCAAAGGATGCCCAGTGGGTAAGCCCCCTTCCTTCGCGGTTCCGAAAAGCTGGGCTGTTCCAAGGAAATCCACAAGACTCTTACCTTGCATTACGCAAGCAACCGGTCCCCTAGGGGTTTGGCTTTTGGAGGCCTTAAACGCCCCCTGGGGCGTTTCTTGAAGTGCCAATTTGGAAGCTATGAAGCAGCGCCTTTTGCCGCCGTTCGGCTTGTTTTGGTGCATGCCTTCCGAGAAAAAAACAAAAAACAACGCTGGCCTTTTGAGGGCCCCCAGGACTTGCTGGGCTAAGTTCTCGCTTTCGGGTGGGCCCATACTGGATTCGCAACGGTCGCTTTTTGTTGGAGGTGCCAATCGGGAATTTGGTGGCAACGTTGGGGTATTTGTTTCCTTCCAGGGATCCGGGCTCCAGCCCAGCCACCAAATTCCTTTACTTTCCTGCAGTCCTCTTGGGCCAGAGAGGTCTGCGGGGGGCCCAAAAAACCTTTCTGGAGGAAGTTGGAGAAAGACCTGGCATTTGGCTGGCATCCGGCTGCTAAGTTCCTTTTGAACGTCTTGAGGTTGGTTCCTTCGGTTAGTGGGGGAAGTCCGGCATGTCCCAAAACGTCGACGGATGAACACACCCCCGCCTCACTGATGGGGGGGGGGGAGGGCGCCGGATCCTTCAGCCTTCTGCATAGGCAAGGTAACCCTTGAAAAGCCAAAAGGGCAACGGCTATCTCCTACTTGGATGTTCAAGCTTAGTACTTGGGTTATAACCATAGTTCTTATGACCATGGTTGAGAACCCAAGTCCCCCAAGTCACCCAGCCATGGTTTTAGCCTTATCTGTAAACATCCAAGCACTCGCCGATGCGAGTCCCGCCCAAAAAGGACGAGGAGCTGCGGAAAAGATACATGGACTACGCGGAGCCGCTGCTCGGACTTGGCGTTTCGACCGAGCCGACCGAGCCGGCCATGTGGCGGGGAGCGAACCCGAAAGCGTGCAACGCACTCGAGGTTTTGTGTGGGGAGGGGGATTCGGTTGTATATTTGTTGAATGACTTTCAGATAGGAACGGGCCAGTTCAGCGGAGCTGGACTCACCCTGTGTTTCTGAACCTTGCTGAGGTTTGATCTGAAGTGGCTCCGAAAACGGATCCTTTGAGCAAACTTTGGGTCTTTGTTTGAGGGGATGTGTTGCAAATGAAAATCGCTCGCCCCCTACGTACCGCAAAATTTAAGCTGCCGGCCGTTTGGAGGGCTTTGCCTTGTGGTTCAATTGGAGGTGCCGCAAAAGGGGGGGAAGGTGTGCTGGGGCTTTCTCTTTGTAAGCCCTAAACCCTGAACCCTAAACCCAAAACGAGAGGAAGCCAATGAACCCCAGGGCTGGGGAAACGGACCAAACTTTCATGATTTGATTGCTGCCTCTCAGGACTGCTGTATGTTCTGGGCATGGCACAAATTCTCAGACCCCCTTCCCCCCCCCCCCCCCGCGCCCCTCCCCCCCAAGAAAAAGAAAGAGCATAACAAGAAGCAAAGAAAGACAAAACAAGCAGCACGCAGAACAAACAAACACAAAACTGATTCCGATCTCTTCTTGGACTACGCTGTGAAAAGACGAACCTGTTCCGTTCCACCTGGGGAGATGGGAGACGCCCAGATACCCCGGGCGTTTCTCAGAATCGTGGACTTTGAATGCTTCGTTTTCTTTTGGCGTTCTTCGTAGCCAAGACTCTTCAATTATGGGACCTTTTGGCGGGGTTGGCTTCGCCAAGCCTCTTGGGAGAGGAGGCTTCCTCGGATCAAAACAAATCGCGGGGGGCCACATCCAAAAAGGGAGGTGTGTCATGGACACCGAGAGTCAAGTTTGCTTTGAGACCGCATATTTGCTACTTCCTCTACTGGAAATATTTGATGTTTTTCCAGGGGGCTTGTAAGCAAACGGAAGGACGCAATACCAACAATGACCTAAAGAAAGTGATGGTTGCAAACCCCAAGAGTCCACCATATGGCTGTGTCTGTTGTAGGCAGGAACTCATTGTTTTGCCCTTCTTTGTGGTACACTGCTATACAAGTGGCCAGAAGTCCGATTCAACATGGCAATGGGTTTAGTTACGGGTCCACATAACTTTCCGTCAATTCCTGCAAGTGGGGTTCCCTTCACAATCAACCAGCCCAAAGAAGGGCGTCCACTTTATCTGAAAATCCAGCGGGGGTCTGGCCAGTAGAATATGGTCACTCATTTTACCCCAATCAGGGACTTCTCGTTTGAAACAGCAGCCACCACACACATGGCTGCCCTTTTCGCCCTGGTAAGGAAAAAGCAAGCGAGAGAGCGAGCCACCTTCCCCCCCTTTTGGCGCATGCCCAAATTTGAATCCTTTTGGGTTGTGCCCAAGGAGTGAAGTCAAACCTAAAAATGCCCTCTGAGGAGTCCACCAGTCATTCCAGTCTTGACCCAGGCTGAAGACCCCCCCCTTTTTTTTTTGTGCTGTGTCAAGCCCTAATGGTGGTGTGCCCCAAGAAACCGCAGACCCATGTAGCTGCTTCACTTGGGATCCCGTTCTTCTTCCAGATGTTAAGCAATGGCAATGGAGTCGGGAACACCCTCAGTGGTTGGTGGTTGGTGGTTACCCTCAGTGGTTGGTGGCGAATGCCGCTGTCTTTCAACCGCTTCAGATTTTACACCCACGCCTGGTTGTTGCTGGGAAACGTTTTTATCCCAATTTTTGCCGATGGTGGTGTTAGTGGTTGAAATCCAAGTCCGCAGAACCGAGCTGCTAAGGCTTAGGTGTTTGCTCCCCTTCCAACGTGAACCAAGACCTTTTTGGGGGAGTCGCATTTTCTTTTCAAGACAGACCCATGAGGTCCCTTCATGCCTGGGAGACTTTTCCCCCCACTTCCCCCCACTTCCCCCCACTTCCCCCCACTTCCCCCCACTTCCCCCCACTTCCCCCCACTTCCCCCCACTTCCCCCCACTTCCCCCCACTTCCCCCCCCACCCCCCAACCCCTGCTCCCCCTCCCCCCCTCCACCCCCCCCAACAGGGTGAGTTTGTCCGATGAGTCGACAGGCAGTTTCTCCACTTCGGCAACATCATGGGCACAGAGGCGCTGCGGGTCTGCTACGACCAGGGCTTGGAGTGGCTCCTGGCGGCCAAGAGCTATGTGCTCGCCAACTTCCGGGTGCTGGAGGCGGGGAGAAAAACGGACACACTTCCTTTCTTGGTGGCGAAGCCAGCCATCCGGTTCCTTAGCTTTTAGCCTTTTTAGTGTTTAGTGGTAGTTTCCATTTAACCCACTAAAAGTTAGACTTTTAGCGGGGGATCTGAGGGCAGCCAATACAATATGCGATCAGGGGCTTCCCCTTTGAAAAAAAACAGCACACACACACACACACAAATGGCTACCCTTCTCGCCTTGGTTCAAAGGAAAAGAAAGAAGAGCGAGCCACCCCTTTGAATATCTAATGTCTAAAAAAGTCTAACATGTTTTGACACCGTGGACACACAAACTCAATAACTGATGTTTGTTTAACAGTTTTTTTGGTTTTTCCCTTGGCGATGTTTGTTACTTCAATTCTAAGATGTTTGACACATTGGGCACATAAAGTAAGCAATACTTGTGACTTTTGTTGAACAGAGGATCTGAGGACAGCCCAGTTGTTTTTTCAATCAGCCCTAGGTTTGAAGGTTTTGTCTTGGGAGAAGAGAGCAATATGTTTCCTTGGGATGTTATGTTTTTGTTTAATCAGCTTGAGTTTCAGATTTGGGCTCCTCCAAGTTGGAAAGGACCATGTTTGATTTTAGCGGCGATCTTTAGGGTCTTCTCGTTTGACTTTTTGTGGTCTCAGCTCAAGCCAATCCCTGACCAGCCTTAAACCCACCGGTGACCCATCCCAAACTCATCCTCAGGTGGAAATCAGCAACAACACCCCCCGGCCCAGTTCTACCCCTAAGCCGGGACGGAGGATGCATACTGGGGTCTCCAAGACTATTTTACATTCACCACATATGCAGCAGAACCTGATGGCGAACCCATTGCTACAACCCATTGAATGGGTTGCTGAAGTAATCCAACGAGCACCAACCTGTTTCAGGTCGTTCAGGTTTCAGGGCTCTCTATATTTCCCTCTTGAACATTGCAACCAAAAGAAAGTCACATTCAATCGGCATGTCCAACAGTTAATGTAAAACAACCAAACGCGGAAGCATGTTTTTTGCGAGTGTGTCATCCCCCCTCTCTGTTCACCTTTTCTTTTTTGGGGGGGAACTCGGGGGAGCCCAAGGCTTGGAACGCCACAGGCGCCAAATCCCATGTTCATGTGGGTCTGCGTCAAAATGAAAAACTGCCAGGATATGGACCGCAGGTTTTAGTTTCCTGGGTTACATGTACCAGGGCCAGATATTTGGGGTACTATTTTTTGACCCACCGCCATGTCTGGAAATGCGGTTTCCGCTGGTTCCCTCTTGACAACGCCACTCTTGAGGACTTCCTGCGGCAGCTGCCCGAGATTCAGCTGGCGCCGCGCCCGGCATGGGCTGAATTGAAGGCTATCCGTCGCAGCAATGGGGATATTCACCGTTAAAACCGGCCGTTGTCTCTGGGTTTCCGGAGGTTTTCTAGAAAGAAGGATCCCTGGATTCAGAATGGGGAAGGTACCCCTGGAGCAATGTTTTTTTTTTTTGGGGGGGGGGCGGGGGTCCAGCAGAAGTTTGCGGCAAAGAGTTGACCAACATAAGTTTGCGCATCATCTATTGTAGATGGGTCGCAATGGTTTTCCAGAATTCAGAATTCCCGCGGTGCCCATTCGTTTTGTGTGGGTGGAACATCACCTTTGGGAAGTGCCAACAAGGAGCCGCGTTTCTTTTGAAGATGCTAAGCTTTTTGGGTTTGGACCATTTTTGCGGTAAACAAACAGTTTAGATTTGTTTTGGCCCATCCACTCAGGAAGTGAGTCAATAAGCCCTTGGTTGAGTTTGGGGGTGTCCCCTTGTGAGGATTGAGACCACTCTTGGAGGGGGGGCCCGCCCCTATTAAAGCTACGGAAGGCATGGGATCTAGTTAGACAAAACGCCCATAGCTTTTCCAGCGCCCTTGTTTTTGGAACACACAACAGGTTGCCTGGCCTCAGCCCGGTCCTGTTTAAGGCTACCTCACCAGGGGTGCTCACATCAAAAGCATACCCAAAGAGGCATGTGTTTTTTTTTTTTTAAAGGAACGCGCGGGTGTCCGAGTTCCAGTTCTCATTTTTCCGGTTCATCGCGACCCCCCTGCAACTCCATTTATGGTTTCATTTTCCTCTTTGTGGGGATACTAGATACCACCCCCCCCTTGTGGGGCCCTTACATACTTCCATTTGCTTCAGAACATATTTTGTTTTTGAGGGAATCTATTTCACTACTGGACATATATTTTTCTAGAGGACTTAAGCAAAGGGAGGCTTTACCAGGTTAGCGCCGCTGTTGCCGACTCATTTTTTTCGAAGCCGAGGCGCAATATGAGGCCGGGCGAGCAGCTGCGGCTTGCAGCTTTCGGCACTGGTTGGGCATGTTTGGTAGGTGTTTTCTACTACCGGCCCACATTGCCATGGCACCTGGCAAGGAAACTGTTCTTCCAGGTACCCTCTCACAGCTGCCATGTTAGTGGGAGGAGGGCCACCTTGTTTCATGAAAAGGCCTGACCTTCGTAACCATCTTTATCTGATTGGTAGAACCCAACAGTCATTGGGTTCTGGGACCCCGCGCATGTGAGGCTTTATCAAAGCTTTTGCGGTCTATGTCCCAGTTGGGATGGGCGACTTACGAGTTGTCCAACCGCAACCAGGAGACACACTAAGTTCCTGCTTGTTGTTGGGAAACATTTTACATTCTTGCTTATTGTGGTTTAGTGGGAAGTCACAAATTAACTGCTGAAATTTAAGTTTTTACTCCCCTTCCAACGTCAACCAAGAGTTTCATGTCCTGGGGAAACAGCTCATTTGGAGCATGGCTCACCTGTGATTCACGTCAACTTGCAATTGCCAGACCCTGAAACGCAGGACTCATCAATCCCTGGTCTAGATGGGGGGGTGTTCCGTCATGGAAATCTTTACCACGTGCCAATGAATCTTGAATGAGGCACGAGAGTGAGTGAGTGGGAAAGAGGCGGCTCTTCGAGTTATTCCTTCTGCCGCCAGTATCACCCCCTTTCCTTTCCTTTTTCTCTTCACTTCACTTTTCACTTTGATGGTGCGGATTGTGGGCCAGACGAAGCGGTCGTTCCCCCTTGGCCACTTTTGGGGCACGTGCTGATTAAAGGGAATCCAAGGTACACCTGAAACCATGCATATTCCCTTCTCTCCATCCGAGTAGGGAACGTTGGCTGAACATATGGGTCTTTCTCAAAATGATGGATCTCAGCTAATGTTGTGGTCTAATCCCCCCCGCTTCATTTCTCCCTAAAATACCCCTTGTTTGGTGATTTGGATTGGTGGTTTTGGAATTGGATTTGAAGCCCTTGTTCATTGTTTGGTGTTGTTGTCTAATCCCCCCAATTCATTTCTCCATAAAAAATTCCCCTTAGTGATTTGGATTGGTGGTTTTGGATTTGAAGCCCTGGTTCTTGAGAGCAAATAGGGGTTTCCCACCCCGGAACACCACCAAACCACCGATTCGGCTCCAAGCCACCAAGTCGAAGGAACCTGAAATTCGCGGGAAGCGGAGTTTCTGGACTTTTAGACAGAGCTTCTGAGAGCCACTCAGGATTTTTTGGTTTGCTTCATTTTTCTCCTTAAGAAAACCCATCTGAACTGGAGGAACCCACTCAGGAAGTGATTTTTTATTTGCTTCATTTTTCTCCTAAAACTGGTGCCTCTCACCTTGACTGCTGGGTTGGATCTGTAGACTTTCACTTTTTGGTTGAAATCAAGAGGTTTTCCACTAACCCCCCCCAAAAAAAAAACGTGAAACACTTTTTGCAGGGGGCATCTGAGTTGGAGGAACACGTGTTTGTTTGCTTCATTTCTCCTTACCAAAAAACAAAAACGTCTGAACGCTGCAGAGACTTGTCCGCCTCTCACGTCCACATGTCATAGTCATAGCGATACCAGTCCCACAAACTGAAAAAAGGGGTGTGAGTCAGGACAACACACCAAAGGTGGATGTCCGAAAACGCGCAGACTGAGACAAAGAAATCCATTACAACAGAACTTAGCCATCGTATCCGTATCGGGAGGCCAGTTACTTGGCCTGGCTGGACTGCTCCGGGCTGCGGTTCAGCAGCGGCAAGGAGTGGCCCGCCGTTCCGCGCGTCGCGCCTGCGCTTCGGTTGGGGCATCGACCACACGGTGCTTGGCGGTAGCTCCTGGCAAGATATGCTTGAAAAGCCGTGAAACATGTGCTTCAAGCAAAGGGGGATAGAGCACAACTCTCTCTCTCTCCCTCTCTCTCTCTCTCTCTTGTGGTGAAGTAGAGGGAGACTACCTGTCCAGGGGAGCTTCCCCATTCTGAATCCAGGGATCCTTCTTTCTAGAAAACCCTCCAGAAACCCGGGGAAAACGGCGATCGCTTTTCGAAAAGAACGATGGTTGAAAAGAATGGACAAGGAAACACCCCCTAGAACTGTGCTGGGCAGTTCAACCAGCGAATCGTCCGGTTCAGCTTAGGTTGTTTTAGGGGTTTGCTTGGTTTCGTTGGCTTAGTGGTTGGGTTTCATTTTTAGGCCGCTGAAAGTTATTCCCAACAGCAATCAGCTCTTGGGTGTCTATCTCTAGGCCAGGCGGTAGTAAGTTGGCCCCTCCAGCTTGGAGCCGGTTTGTCGCCTAGCCTGGAACGCTGTGTTGCTGTTGCAAACCAGGGTCATTTGTTTTTGTTTAGTTTGTTTAGTGGGGGGTTGTATTAAATTACCCACGAATTGTCCACTTTAGCCGGGGATCAGAAAACGGACATCAGCCGTAGCGCGTTGATTGGGTTTCCCACGAAAGGAGCTGCATGGCTTCATGCTGGAGGCACGCGACAAAGGGCCGAAGGTGGTTGCAAGGCCGAGAGGTTGCTGGTCATGGTGTGGTAAGAGCGGGATTATTGGGTTGTATTTTAAACAATGCTGTTTATACTTATATTAAAACATAACAATGTTTAAATATAAACAATACTGTTGTTTTGGTTTTGTAAACAATGCTTATTGGGGTGTATTTTAAACAGTTATTTATACACATAAGCACAAAACTGTTTACTCCTCAAGTTTCGAGGAAGCGCTCACAAGGTTGCGGCCCAGCTGGCTAGGAAGTTTCCTCGCAGCTCCAATTTCTGTCCTGAATGCTTGCCAGCAAATCAACGCGGTTCCCGCAAAATTGGGGAGGGGGGGTTGCCAGAGGGGAGCTTTGGCCCGTTTTGGTTTTTCTTTTTCTTCCGGGCTTCTGGATTTCAGTACACCGGCCTTTCTTCGCGAACGCGGCAGGAGCTTGGAGTGCCAACTGAGGGCTGTTCGAAGAGGGGCTGTTCGCGCCGCGTTTTGGGTGGGACATGTGGGACCCTTTCTTCTGGAAATGCAAGCTTCAGGGCCCTGTCTTGTCTCGCCTGGTGCGATGGGCAGGGAATGAGAAACGGAATGAACCCAGGCTTTGGTGCCCTTAAAGGAAACCACCAACTGGATGGTTTTTCATGGGGTCATTCCATTTCTCATTCCCTGGCCGGCAAGTTTTCTGTGGCCGTCGCCTTTTCTGTCAAGTCAAGGCAAGAACACAGCCCAGACGCACCGCAACAGACGTTCAGCGCAAACACTTCGCTCAGAAGAAATGCCACGCGAGCTTCACGTCACACCTCTGCCAACCATTTCCCGGGCGGCAGGTTCCGCTCAGATACCGCGGATTTCCAATCGTCAGGGCTGTGCTCGCCTGATCTTTGGAGCTCGCCCCAGGGCTCGAGCTACACTTTTTGGGTCTCAATCTCTTCTTGAAGCCTAAGTTTGTCAGTTTTTTTAAAACCAAAACCCACAACAGAAGCCATGTCCGTGCCGTAGCAAACCGGAAAGAATCCCAGATCTGGTGGGGGTGTCCCACAAAGACCCTTTTGGGCGGATCCACTGATGTCCCAAGCTGTCCTCCCTTCTTTTAGAGCCCCGCTCCCTTCCTTCCCCCCTTTTCCCCCCCCGTATTTTTTCCTCCTCCGGCCGGAAAACTCCGCGCGAGCCATCCGTTCTCCGTGTCGCTTCGGCTTCGGCGCATGGCCATGACGAGCCCCACGCTGCGGCTCTTCAACACGCTGCTGGTGACGATGCTGGCGATCTTGGTGGGCCTCGTGTGCGTGCGCCTGCAGCTCTTAAGGCTGGAGCACCGGAATTGGTTTTCTTCCTGCTTCGCTGTGGGTTTCGGGGAAGCCGGTGGGAACGGGGTTCAGGAAGCCGTGGGGCAGGTTTTGAGGATAGGCCTTTTGGGTGGGGCTTCAATGGGAAACCACAAGTAAATGGTCCCCAAGTTTGAAGGTTCAACCAGCGAATCGTCCGGTTCAACTTAGGTTTTTTAGTTGTTTTTTAGTTGGTGTAGTGGTTGGGTTGCATTTAAGCCACAAGTTACAGTTAAATACTTTTAGCAAGGGATCGGTTTGGACAGCCCAGTAATTAAGATATGATGGCCTTTTCAAGGTCGATTTGGTCAAATTGAGGCGCTTCCTGGTTGGCCTGGTTTCATAGTCCAGGGCCATCTGTTTTACCCAAAGGGACACCTGTGTTTGAGAAGAGAAGGAGCAGGGCTGCAGTTGGGAAACACTTCCCCCATGTTTTTACTGACAGAAGTGGTTTTTGCAGGGAACAAATGGTATTTCTTTTTGGACCCTCCATTGGAGGCCGATATGCGGTACTGCGGAGAAATGGTTCTTCGTTAGCCCCCGCAGGGGGTGCTCCTGCCCACAGCATCACTATCTCGCAAATCATAGTGAGGTCGGGTTCTGGAGGGTTTGCAAGGTCGCCCATAGTGAAGGTTCCTTTATAGGCGTGCCCAGAAGCGTTGGACCATTGGAGAGGTTTTGATCTTTGGGTTTGGACCTGGTGAAGCCCTGTTTTCCAGGGTCCAGGGCCTAGACATCCAAAAGCCAAACGAAAGTTGAAGCCAACGAGCCACGAGTCAAACACGTCAATCGGCCAAGCCCAAAAAGAACGCAAAGAACCAACCCCTTCGATCAGGTGACGCTTTGTTAGTTTGGATTGGTGGTTTGAATTTGCTTTGGTAAATGGGTTCCCCCCAACCTACCAACCTCACCCCCCCCCCCCAAACCCCCAAAACGGACTCGGCTCGCTCCACACGCCCCCCAAAACTCGCCGTTTCGACAACGCCACCGCGGGAAAAGGTGAAAAGTGAAAAGCGCCGACCAGCCGAGACATTTTTGCTCCGACGCCGTCCCCCCCCCCCGCAACACAAAAAACAACGGCGCCGCACCCCCGGCGTTTTTTTCTTTTGGGCTAAAGTGTTAACCGTAGGTGGTCGCTTGTCTTGACTCTTTGTAAGTATCCACTTGGGCCACCATTTTGGCTCAAGTGGACACTTCCCTTTTGTCTTGGAATCTGAAATTTCTCATTCCCCTCCTATCAAAGCCATGTACACCCCCGCCTATGCTGGTGCCGCGGTTGCAGAGGCTAAGGCGAAGGCGAAGGCATCCATGGCGAAGTACCTGGCAAGCCTTGTGAAAAAGGAGGAAGAAGGTTGGACCGTCCTGGCGGCTGAGGTCCCTCAGGCACCGGACGAACGGTTCTTCTCCAGCGCCGACGAGCTGGAGCAAGCCCCACTCATCCCAGCCAAGCGTAAGGCCGAGGACGAGCTGATGGCGGACTCCCCCCCTGGGGTGGCGCAGGTGCCGAAGGCCCTGACACGCCCCCCAGGGGCGTTCCTGGAGCTTCTCGACCCTCCAGAGCCGGATGTTCCCATGGAGGAACTCCTGGCGGAAGACGAGGAGGAGCCCCCGATGGAGGAACCCCTGGCGGAAGATGAGGTGGACCCCCCGATGTCCGACACCAAGTGGCAGGGACGCCAGGACCTTATGGAAAAGGCCAGGGCGCAGGTGTCCTCGGAGGGGGATGAGGACCCCGCAGCCCCCCCGCCAGGGGGAAGCGTCTTCACCAAGGCCCTCAAAGTCTCTGAGGGCCTTTACCAATTCAGTGCGGACCAGATGGCGGGCGACTTCCCGTGTTTTGATGGGACCACGGCCGCCAGGCTCCGACGACTGCAGGCCAAGGATGTCCAGCGGCTCTTGAGAGGCTTTGAGGGCCCCCAACTCAAGCAGGGGGGCCTGGAGCGCGTGGTGGAGGCGTTCTACATCGCCAAGATGAAGTATGAGCATGAGGCCCTGCTCAGCACCCCGGGACAGAAGGTTGGCAAGCGCGCTGGCCTGGGGTATGGGGGCCTTGAGAACCGCCCCCTGGGTAAGGAGCCCACATCCTGGATCTGCCCCTGCTGCACCATGCCCTGGGTGAAGAAGGGCGCCAGGAAGTGTATGGGGTGCGGCAAAAAGACGGAGCCCATCGACACGGCGTCCAACTTGGCCACCCTGGAAATGGCGGGCACGCACTGGCAGCTGACAGTGGATGACCAGGGCAATGCGGTCTGGACGGCGGCCCGGTCCGCAGGTGCCGATGGCCCTGACACGGACCGGGCCCGCGACCTCAAGCTCAGCGCCTCGGTGGATGTCAGCGAGCTGGCCACCGACCCAATGGCATGCGAGAACCTGGACCAGGCCAGCTTCTCGGATTTTGTCCCCTCCTCGGTCCGGGCGGTGATCAGGAACTGCCCCATGGAGCTGGACGAGGATTTCCTGACGGCCCCAATGGGGGAAAGGCCCCCGTTGCCGGGCGACAAGGAAGAGGGCCAGGAGTGCAGGGCCTTCCACCCGTCGGCAGTGAAGGCCTTCAAAATCCAGACCCGGCTCAACGCCACCACCATCGCCCAGGAAGAGGCAAAGAAGGCAGACCAGGTGGCAGCGGTGGAGCGATCTGCGGCGGTCCTCCACGAGCTCCAAGGAGGGGCCATCGATGGAGGAGGCGATGGGGGACAACTCCTCAAGAATTTGGACTTGGACCTTTTCCGCGAGAAACTGCTGGATAAGCTGGGCGCGGACTGGGGGAGGCCCACACCGGAGCTCCTCCAGGCCCAGACCACTGCGGAAGAGGCGAAGGCAAAGCACCAGGCCAGACAAGCGAAGGGCGCCCTCGAGACCAGAATGCTCGAGCCCATCAAGCCTCCATTCAGTGCGTGGCCTAGCGAGATCCGAGTTGCCATTGAGACAGGGGTCTTTGAGCCGACCACGGCATGGAGGGATTTCAGCATGGACGACCTCACGTCCCTCACGGACTCCTACCTCGAAGCCAAGGCGGTCATCTCGCTGGGTAGGAACCCCTTTCCGGGGGCCCTCCTGGCAGATCTGCCGGATCTGGCGGGGATCCCCATTCCAAAGGCGGGGGGCTCTGGTGCGGCGCGCCCAGGTGCCGAGGGCCCTGACAGGCAGCCCACCATCCCCCCAGCTTCGGGCTCTGGTGCGACGAGCTCAGGTGCCGAGGGCCCTGACAAGCCGTCCGCCACCCCGGGGGGCCTGGACACCCAGGACCCGGAGGTGCAGCTCGCGGTCCTGCGCTGGATGATGAGCAAGCGTGTCGGAGAGGTCCGCATCTTTGCGGGCCGCTGGGTCCGACGACCGGGGCCCGTACACGTCCCGGACTGGGCCAACAACCTCACCAAGGTGAATCCGGAGGCGCTGGAAAAGGGTACGCATCCCAGGAACCACCAGGCGGGTGGACTCCCATGGGCCAGGTACTCCGTTGAGGAGCTGAACCAGCAGGCCAAGGCGGGGGACCGACCATACCCCGAGGACCTGCGATCCATCTTCTGGGCGGCCCCCCACGATCCGGAGGAGGACTTCCACTGGGCGCGCCAGATCTCGTCCTGGACACTCCCAGGCTTGCTGGGGATGTTTGGTCACAGCTTCACTCTGCGCCAGCTCTGGGGAGTCTGGGAGTCTCTGCCATTGCTTCAGGGCCCTAGGCAGCGGGGCCCGAAGAACAAGGCCCAGAATCAGATCCGCCTGGAAGGCTGGGAGACCCTGAAGGAAGATGCTCGGTGCTTCCTGAAGGAGGAGGGCCTTCCGCTTCCGCAGACAGGACCGGAGTGGCGCCTGGTCTACCGGGCCATGGGCAAGGTCCTTGCGGCCCGGGCCTTCCTCACGGACACCCCGGCGGAGGTAATGCAGCTCCCGGTCCAGGACGTGGCGGACTCCAAGGAACAGATGATCCTCCGGGCGGTATGTGATGAGCGCATATCGGTCCCGGTGGAGAGTCTCCAGCAGTTCCCAGAGGTGTACCAGGCCCTCATGGACCGCATTGGAGGCCCGGGGGCCCTGGCGGAGGTGAAAGTCAACTGGCGCTGCAACACGAAGCAGTGGTGGGTCGGCGCAGTCCCCGACTCAGTGGCCCCCTCCATCTACCGCAAGCTTGGCTACACCAACGACATGATCAAGCTGATGGGCCTGGACCCCTCCGCCCCCGGGTGCCGGACAGGTGCCGATGGCCCTGACATCCGCCCCAGGGGAGGAGAGGGCGATGAGGGGATCGTCTACCCCCCCATCACATCGGACAACGTCCACGGCGTGGTGGGCAAGGAGTACAAGAAGAAGAACTTCTCGGCAGAGACGAAGCACGTCTTCTGGGCGCACATGGAGTGCGGCCTGGTTCTGAGCTCAGTCACCCCATGGGAGCTCATCCCCAAGACGAAGGGGGAAACCCGGGGGGGCTATATGTGCAAGTACTGCAAGGGGTACTGGCGCGCCGGGGGAGGGGGCACTCGCCTCCTCCAGATCCGGGCCGGCAAGGCCATCCTTCAGCTGGTGCTGGACGAGCCGCCCGATGGACTGTACAACCGCTGGGTCAAGGAACGGCTGGAGTTCTACCGCCGGGTAGAGCCGTCTGCCCCGCTGCGGGATGTCTCCGTGGTGGACCAGAAAGTCCCACGGTTTAGGTTCAGCCACGTCACCCAGACCGGCCATGTCTCAGATGCCATCTGGGAGCTGATTCTCCGGAACCCGGAGGCGGCGGCGCTCAAGCGCATTGACGACATTGCCAAGGGGGCCGTGTGATCATGCAACACTGCGGCCATCCGGAACGGAATTGCAGGGCACCCCGGGGGAGGACAGCTGCCGATGGCGCTGATATCCCCCCCGGGCACAGCACAGGCCTTGGCCTGCACCAGGCGAGAAAAAGGGGCGCGCTTGGGCTGGTCCGGTGTGCGCCTGGGCTCCCCCCCCCCCCCTCGTTTGGTTTTCCCTTTCCGTGGAGGCTCCCCGGGTCCCC